ACACGGACACACACACACACACACACACACACACACACACACACACACACACACACACACACACACACACACACACACACACCTGGTCAAACACGTCAAGAAATTAGAGAAAGTGCAAAGGTTTGCAACAAGGCTAGTTCCAGAGCTAAGGGGAATGTCCTACGAAGAAAGGTTAAGGGAAATCGGTCTGACGACACTGGAGGACAGGAGGGTCAGGGGAGACATGATAACGACATACAAAATACTGTGTGGAATAGACAAGGTGGACAGAAACAGGATGTTCCAGAGATGGGACACAGAAACAAGGGGTCACAATTGGAAGGTGAAGACTCAGATGAGTCAAAGGGATGTTAAGAAGTATTTCTTCAGCCACAGAGTTGTTAGGAAGTGGAATAATCTGGCAAGCGATGTAGTTTTAAGGCGAGGTATGATAAAGCTCATGGAGCAAGGAGTGGGAGGACCCAGTAGCGGTCAGTGAAAAGGAGGGGCCAGGAGCTGAGTTTCGACCCCTGCAACCACAATTAGATGAGTACATACACACACACATACACACACACACACACACACACACACACACACACACACACACACACACACACACACACACACACACACACACACACACACACACACACACACACGCTCTAGTGCATCCAAATAAATACACATGAATGGAAAACACTTGATCGCGAGCACCTACGTTCGTCAGAAGATGGGCAGCTGGTACTGTGTCACACAGCTGGTGTTGTTGGCCACAGAAGTGGTTGGCAGCTGGTGTTGTGGGCTACACAAGTGGTGGCAGGTGGTGTTCTGTCACACAGCTAGTGGGCAGGTGGTGTTATGGGCCACAGAAGTGGTGGGCAGCTGGCACTGTGGGCCACACTAATGGTGGGCAGGTGGTGTTGTGGGCCATACAGGTGGTAAGCAGCTGGTGTTGTGGGCCATACAAGTGGTGTTGTACACAAGAGTGCCTCGCTGCCTCTGGTCAAGGCATGACCAGCACAGTGGCGACCAGCTCCAGCACCATCATTATACTAACTCACACAGACGGGACAATCACTGGTCTGACCCACATAATACATCTACCCTTAACTATCCAGGACAAAGCCAGGAATATAAGGCACATACGGCTCATGACTTGCGCCAGAACAAGTAAATGCATACAAACACACAATCACAAAAATGGTATATTCAGGAGCAGCAACACGAGAAACTCAACCACATCTTGCAAATTATAGTAATATATGCATGAAGGACTGACATTGTTCGAGGAGTAATGATCAGAGTAATGGAGTCCGGACAGCGAGGCGTCTAGTGTATATACACAAAACTACGTGACTTGTAGCAGTCGAGTAAGAACCAGGTTGGATTCCCAGGTGAAGCAAGAACTGTAGACAAGTCTACGGACACCTGCTGTCCGTGTTCTACTAGAAATAAATAGGTACCGTGACATCAATGGACTGTTGTGGAAGGCATCTTGGTAAAGTGCATGAAGGACCTCAATGGAAATAGGCCACACTGCTTGATTTTATTGGGTCACCTTTTTTTTTTTTTAATTTTACCTTGTGCCCAACAACACTGAATCAATATTAAACAAGGAATGTTTACGAGTTAATAACAACATTGGCAGGTTTCTCTTAAAATAAACCATGAAACAGAATAGTTTCTCAGGAAAAAAAAGGATGAAGTCTGTCAGCCTGAGCTGAGACTCTTCAGTAAGACGATACGGCTGCCATCAAACATTCCACTACGAGTTCATTAGCTACAGCAGCTTCAAAGGGTTCCTTCCAGAAGAGCTGGAGTCACTTTTACTCCGGAATTATTCCTCCTCGTGAGGAAATGGTTATGTTGTTTCTTAGAGAGGTTGTGTACTGGGGATATCGTGTCTTAGGGAGGTTGTGTCCTCGGGCAGTCGTGCTCTAAAGAAATAGTGTCTTGGGGAATAGTTTCCTGGGGAGCTTGTGTCCTGGGGGTTGGTCTCCTCGGGAGGTTGTATTCTGGGAAGGTCGTGTCCTCGGGAGGTTGTGTTCTGTGGGTCGTGGCCTGGGAAGGTCGTGCCCTGGGCAGGTCGTGTTCTGGGGAGGTCGTGTCCTGGGGAGGTCGTGTTCTAGGGAGGTTGTCCTCTGAAGGTCGTGTCCTCTGGAGGTCGCGTCTTGGAAGGTTATATCCAGGGGAGGTTGTGTTCTGGAATACTGGGACTGACAGTGTCCTGGGAGACTAGTAGTGTCCTGAGGACTGACAGTGCCGTCGGGGACTGGCAGTATACTGGGGAATTGGCAGTGTCCTGGGGAACTGACAATGTCCTGGGGGACTGCCAGTGTCCTGGAGGACTGAGAGTGTCCTGGGAACTGGCAGTGTCCTGGAGGACTGACAGTGTCCTGGGGGTCTGCGTCCAGAGGAAGAAAGGCTGAACACAGCAGGTTACCGCCTGGGCTATTTTTATCAAAGTTTATATGCTCAGCCAACTACATTATGTTTATGCATCTTGCATGAGGCCGCTGCTAAACTATTACCTCAGGGGTAGGGAACTAGCCTCACAACCGAAAGCTACCAGGTTCAATCTCCTGGTAAATCGAATCGTATGAGCACATCTCCTTACACCTGCTCGATTGCTAGCCCACTCAGCTCACACACTGAGGTCTGGGAGTCGATCCCCAGTACGAGTGGAAACGTTAGGACGTATTTCCTGAAGACACCTACTGTCCATGCTCATCTATCGGTAAAATAAGTACCTGGGTGTTAGTCGACTGGTGTGGGTCGCATCCTGGGGACAAAACTGACCTAATTTGCCCGAAATGCTCTGCATAACAAGGAGCTTTCTATATACTAGTATATCATTGATGTCAATTAGGCCTGTATACCTTCTACATGTACATTTAGAAATAAAGATTATTCTTATTCTTATTCTTATTATTATTATTATTATTATTATTATTATTATTATTATTATTATTATTATTATTATTATTGCTTTGTTATTTATTTTATTATTAACACATTGGCCGTTTCCCACCAATTATTATTATTATTATTATTATTATTATTATTATTATTATTATTATTATTATAGTTACTTAAGTGTTAGACAACTCCTGTACATTGCTACGAGACAAAACCTATAAAATGACCCAACGAAAAAAGCCACATTGCTTGGTTTGCTGGGATCACCAGACCGTCACCAGTATCAAGGCACGAACCTTGGATCACCAGACCTTCACCAGTATCAAGGCACGAACCTTGGATCACCAGACCTTCACCAGTATCAAGGCACGAACCTTGGATCACCAGACCTTCACCAGTATCAAGGCACGAACCTTGGATCACCAGACCTTCACCAGTATCAAGGCACGAACCTTGGATCACCAGACCTTCACCAGTATCAAGGCACGAACCTTGGATCACCAGACCTTCACCAGTATCAAGGCACGAACCTTGGATCACCAGACCTTCACCAGTATCAAGGCACGAACCTTGGATCACCAGACCTTCACCAGTATCAAGGCACGAACCTTGGATCACCAGACCTCACCAGTATCAAGGCACGAACCTTGATCACCAGACCTTCACCAGTATCAAGGCACGAACCTTGGATCACCAGACCATCACCAGTATCAAGGCACGAACCTTGGATCACCAGACCTTCACCAGTATCAAGGCACGAATCTTGGATCACCAGACCTTCACCAGTATCAAGGCACGAACCTTGGATCACCAGACCTTCACCAGTATCAAGGCACGAACCTTGGATCACCAGACCTTCACCAGTATCAAGGCACGAACCTTGGATCACCAGACCTTCACCATCATCATCATGAAGGTATCTAAGGTGAAGTAAATCACTAACGAACTTATTTTTCCCTTCCGTCTCAGTATCACGGAGAAATTTCTGAACACTTACAAGTGTGCACATCTCCAACCGCATTATTATTAACTACGCCCCTAATTTATCCCGCAGTACTTATTTACGAATGGATAATTACAAGAGCTGGAGACGGACCAGACGCTGAAACAAGACAAACTCGTCACAAAGGAGTGAAAGCACTGACTAGCTGATGGCAACAAAACAACACAGTCGTTCAGAATTTCCCTTGTTGCTTAAAATCTCTGTGACCTCTGTGTGAGGCCGAGATAGAGGTCGACTCTATGATTGTAGAGGAAAAAATATCACAGGGAGTAAAGGGCTTGGGAGCCATGATGCAAGTTAGATTTAATACAATGTAATCAGTGTTAAGCAGGTCTACTTTATATAGCCTATTATTCTTGAAGCTAACCTAGCCTAATTTAATGTGATAGTATGATGTCAGTGTCGTCCCAGCACCAACAACAGAAACCGTTCAGAATATTTATTAAAGGATTTTATTTCAAGAGTTTGTTTATTAATGAAATTTATGACTTTTCCGTGGCTTTATTGTTATTGTGACCTTTTTTATTTCACTCTGTCACCGAGTCCAATGGTGATTATATACCTGCTGACCAGGTGCCTTATTAGTGCCACAGGTCAAAATATAATTGTTATTATTATGATTATTATATTCACATAAAATGCTAGACGCGTATGCGTCGTTCAGCGGTGGTCGTCCCTCTGACCTGACCTGAACTGACCACCTCCTGGAATATAGAACCAACTAAATTGTACAAAATGAGGTCACAGAAGTTTTTTTTAACTCGGGATTGAGGTCGTAGCCATGATGAAAAGTGACATCATAATAGATGCTTTGCTACCACAGATTGTCATTCTAAATTATGAGGTAAGGAAGGAAGAACTCTTCAAATATTTCAAGATATTTACCCGAAGTTACATCATATATATATTATATATATATATATATATATATATATATATATATAATATATATATATATATATATTATATATATATCATATATATATATATATATAAATATATTTTATATATATTTTATATATATATATATATATATAATATATATATAAAATTTCTGTTTGTACATACTTGTATCAGAGACGTAAATGAACATTACCTTGTTAATGAGAGATGATTTGTGCTTGAAGGTGGTTAGAACCATTCAGCGCAGAATGGGCGGCACTTGTTCAGGACGTAGCAGATACAAGTTCAAGGATGGAACGGCAAAAGTAGAATTCAGAAGCTGGGTACTGGCGATCAATGAGCATTCATTCCCCTTCTAGGTTACGATGGAAGCCGCGGTCATCTGTCCCAGCAGCTACACCTCTTGCTCGCAAACATCAACATCTCCAATACAGTAATGGGGTCACTGTGACCCCCCTGAAGTTGGATCCGGGTGAAGGTGGAGGTCAAGATCCCCCCAGGGGTCACTTGAGGTCAACGCAGCCTGGAGAAGTTCAAAAAGGCGGGTTCGATCAAACACACCCTTCGGGTTAGTAAAGGTTTATTCCCCAAGAGTTTTTGAAAATAACTCTCCAACTATTGTTATTGTGACCTTTTTTTTTTCCCGTAGGTAGGTCAAAAAAGGACCCCCAGGGGTTTTTTTAGGCACCAGGCTAAAAGTTTTTAAGATCAAATACATAATTAAAAAGACCTTTATTGTGTGGGGGGCGAACCCTCGACCCCCCAACACCACCCCAAAAAGCCCCCTGGTTTAAAAAATTTGAGGAAGAATTTTTTAACGGGAATGGAGGCTGCAAGAATGGACATAATGTTGGCCCAAAGGGCTTCTAAATTAAATGGGAAAGGAAGTCATAAAATTTACAAGAAACCGAGACAAGTAAAATTATAAAAAATAAATATAAGAAAATTGGGTAATTAAAAAATCAAAAAATAAAAAAAAATTTAAAATTTTAAAATTTTTAAATAAAACTTTCATATTTTAAATCAGGAACTTTAAACATTACCTTGTTTTAGGATGGATTTGTTGCACAATTAGGAACCAACACCGGAAAGGGCACGTAAAGAGTTAGAGAAGTACAGGTTCAACAAGGACCCCGGACCAAGGTAAGTCGTAGAGGGGTTGGGAAATGGATACCCCGGGTAGAAGGGTAAGGGGACTGACGCTAAAAATCTTCCCGGGAAAACAATTCAAGTAGATTTTCCGGAGGGACCCGGGAAAGGGGGTCAACTGGAAGTGAAGGTCAGAGACCAGGGCTTAAAGAAATTCTTCAGCCATGGGAAGGAATTTACCCAGAAGGGAAAATATGGAAAACCCAATACTTATTTTTGGGGGTATACAAACTCAAAAGCAAGAAAGAAACCAACACAAAAACCCAACTAACACCACCCTCAACCACACAAAACAAAAACACACAACACACAACACACACACACACACACACACACCCCACACACACACACACACACCACACAACCCACCACACACACACACCACATACACACACATACACACAGGGGAGGTAGACTGCATTTTCTTGGACTGTAAGAAGGTGTTTGACAGTTTCACACAAGAGATTAATGCGGAAGCTGGAGGACCAAGCAGGGATAACAAGGAAGGCACTACAATGGATCAGGGAATACCTATCAGGAAGACAACAGCGAGTCATGGTACGTGGCGAGGTGTCAGAGTGGGCGCCGGTAACGAGCAGGGTGCCACAGGGAATCAGTCCTAGGACCGGTGCTGTTTCTGGTATTTGTGAACGGCATGACGGAAGGAATAGACTCCGAAGTGTCCCTGTTTGCAGATGATGTGAAGTTGATGAGAAGAATTCAATCGGACGAAGACCAGGCAGAACTACAGACGGATCTGGACAGACTGCAGGCCTGGTCCAGAAACTGGCTCCTGGAGTACAACCCCACCAAGTGCAAAGTCATGCAGATTGGGGAAGGGCAAAGAAGACCACAAACGGAGCACAGTGTAGGGGGCCAGAGCCTACAAACGTCACTCAAGGAAAAGGATCTTGGTGTGAGTATAACACCAGGCACATCTCCTGAGGCGCACATCAACCAAATAACTGCCGCAGCATATGGGCGCCTAGCAAACCTAAGAATAGCATTCCGACATCTAAATAGGGAATCATTCAGGAACCTGTACACTGTATACGTTAGGCCCATATTGGAATATGCAGCGCCAGTTTGTAACCCTCACCTAGCCAAGCATGCAGGTTAACTAGAGAAAGTGCAAAGGTTTGCAACAAGACTAGTCCCGGAGCTAAGGGGTATGTCCTACGAGGAGAGGTTAAGTGAAATCGACCTGACGACACTGGAAGACAGGAGAATTAGGGGGGATATGTTAACGACATATAAAATACTGAGAGGCATAGACAAGGTGGACAGAGACAGGATGTTCCAGAGATGGGACACAGCAACGAGGGGTCACAGTTGGAAGCTAAAGATTCAGATGAACCACAGGGATGTTAGGAAGTATTTCTTCAGTCACAGAGTTGTCAGGAAGTGGAATAGTCAGGGAAGTGATGTAGTGGAGGCAGGATCCATACATAGCTTTAAGAAGAGGTATGATAAAGCTCATGGAGCGGGAGAGAGTGACCGGGTAGCGGCCAGGTGAAGAGGCAGGGCCAGGAGCTGTGAATCGACCCCCGCAACCACAACTAGGTGAGCACAGAGAGGAAGTGGAACAGTCTGGAGAGTGATGTAGTGGGGTGGAGGCAGAATCCATACATAGCTTTAAAAAGAGGTATGATAAAGTTCACGATTCATAGCTCCTGCCCCCACCAGGAGCTATGAATCGACCCCTGCAACAACAATTAGGTGAGTACACACAACAAAAAAAGGTCACATATATTCTTTTACCCTAAATTTCCTGAAGAATTTACAGTCATTTTCTATTTAACGAATTGAAAAAGAAGGGTTCAGGTGATGTTGACCTCAGTGTGTATTGGTCAGGTCAATACAGTGCTGTGTATGTTACTGTAGTTGACACAGCCAGCCTTTGTTTGACTCTACACCCCTCAAGGGAGTTCCTTGACGCTGGTGAGGGGCTCTTGATCTAGGGAATTGGATCTGTGCTCCGGTTCCCTAAATTGAGTCTGAATACCTTCCACCCCCCACATGCGTTGTATAATCCTACGGGTTTAGTGCTCCCCCATGATTATAATATGTAATAATTGACCTCTACAGAAAAATATAATTGCACTTGTGTCCTTTTGCTTAACATATTGTCGGTAATTCTACTAACATTAATACTCCCATGTACCCTAAAATGCTCTAGATATTTTCACACAAGTAGTATATCAATATCAATAATACCAGAACAGACTCAAAGGTGTATATAGTGAGAAGCAGGAACTCACAACAGATGGCATGGGAAAAGTTCTACTTATTGGAGCTAACAGACGTTGTGCACAGCTTGAAGAAGAGGCATGACACAGCCAAGAGGAAAGAAACTGGTGAAACCGGTCGTAATGCAGGTAAGAGGCGGAGACTAGGAGCTGAGGCTCAACCCTAGCAACAACATCAAGGTGATGACAGCTGGACGAGTAAGATCTTAAATAATAATAATAATAATAATAATAATAATAATAATAATAATAATAATAATAATAATAATAATAATAATAATAATGAAATAGCCAGGATAAACAAAACCTTCCCTGGGGTGAGAGGAAAGCGAGTGGGGGGGGGGGGTTGTAGAGAGTTTGGTTAGAGAGGGTAGAGTGGGGTTAGGGTGGCCGGGGTGACAGGCAGGTGGTTGAACAATGGACGAGTGGAACATTCAACAAGCCTGCAGAGGACTTATCGACAAATTGATCCTGTTGTGTCGTGTGCCTGCCTGCCTGCCTCTTGTTACTTGTCCTACAGACAACATGATGGCATCCTTGTACTTGCAAAGGAACTGCAGTAAATTCTCATTTAACGTCGTTTCGTTATAACGTTGGTGAGAAAAAAATCGATTTCCGGCCGGGACTCCAGTCTGTGTGGAGTTTGCACGTTCGTTTTGGAACTGCCTAGTGGTAGGTGGTGATATTTACAGTTTTCACTTTGCAAACGTTTATTCCTTGATTAAACTGTTGCAATGAGCGCTAAAGGTGCACTGTGAACCCCTGATGTTTGTATCAATTAGCTTATGGTAAAATTGGTTGCGTTACACGTCGTTTCGCTTAAAGTCGCAGTTTCCAATAACCTATCAACGACGTTAAATGAGGACTTACTGAACGAAATCACATCTGGTCAGGTACTGCACAGAAGAGGCAATGATATATAAACTTCAGTGATTACCTGACGAAGCCAAATACTTCAGTCAATACTTTCGTCACATCGGAACTTTTTTTTCGTCGACAAAATTCTATGCAAATAAAAAACAATTCATTAATGTTTCTACACAGTATGTGTCTATGTATATTCTGACGAATGTATTACTCTTGCTATGTATGCACTGACAGCAGCAATGTATATATATTTGTATATATACACTCAGAGGTGTATACCTTAGTGGGTATACACTTAGACTTTACTGTAATCCCTTTCCATTCACAAATTTTTCGACCTATAAGCACAGGGCATTGACCTCCCAAACTCAATACCATTTCCTTTTGAATTTCATGAGTTGCATTTTGTAAAAATACTGAAATTCGTCACCGGGTGTCACACACACATGGTGTCACGGTCACTCTGCGAACACGTACCACCGAAAAACGAATAAAAAATGCTCAAAAATAAAATACGAAATGTATGTGATAGTTTACAGTCGTTTTTTTTAATTGTCCATTGTTCTGGCTTGACCTTGTAAGGAGGAAAATTAAGTTTCTAATGCAAAAAAGAAAATATAGAAATAAATATATTCACGTGAATTAATTAATTAGATTTTGTATTTGTTTATATGATTTATTAATTTTATGCAGTTTTGTTTTCTAAATTTGAGCATGATAAATTTTCTACTAACTGCAGTTGAAGACAAATCATATAATACATTTCTTTTCCTGTTTTGCTAATTCTGTTATTATTATTATTATTATTATTATTATTATTATTATTATCATTCTTATTACAGTCATTATCATGTTCATAAACAAATCTATAAAGTGTCTGTAAAGGGACAGCAGGAGTCATGGGATGGTGGTGTGGCCATATTTGACGTCAATGTTGTCACACCTGTGTTTGTTGATGCCTCTGTTGGTGTGTATACCCATGGTGGGCCAGGAGCTAAGACTCGACCCCTGCAACCACAAATAGGTGAGTACAGTGTGGCACGCACACCACCAACCACACCCACTGATTAACATGATACAAATCACAATACCATTAGCTGGTACAATTCACAACTAACCCACAAAGACACAATACCATTGGCTTTAACAATTCACATCTAACCCAAGAATAAGAGACGAAGCTGGACGATGTTTCGCCTCGTCTTAGACCATTATCAAGGCACGAATGACTTCAAAATGGTAAAGACTGACA